AATCCGACAGTAAAAACTAAAAGAAACTTTTGTGTTTCTCCCCAACGTTTCTTGCGTTTCTTTCTTGCGAAACCCCAACATCTAAAAGTTCAGGAGAATAAGACGAACAATTTTAAAGAAACAAAATCGTTTGATCCTTCTCAAATAGATGATTACGTAACCACAGAAAAAGTTCTCAACCAATCTAAGTTTGTGAAAACGTACATTAAAAATCCGAATGCCTATTTCACTTAAGGTCCTTTAGTATTGGCTCGGCTTAAGCTTGAAGATTTTCAGAAAATATCTGATAAGCGTCTAAAATGGAAACCGATTTACAAGCAACCCTCTGAAAAGGATCAAACACAAAAAAAACTCTTACCACTTAAATCCAATGCGCACTTAAATCCTGCTGAGGTTAAAAATAACGCACGTAGGTTTGACGAAAGAGTTAAAAAACTTCAGATAAGATCTGACGATGACCTGAATGATTTTGATAGCACTCTAAACGAGACCTGCGATGAGCTGGACATTTATCCTAAGTTTTATATGCAGATTCAACCAAGAAGTATACAATTGTGTACAAACTCGTTACCATTATCAATGCCCTACACTTTCTCAAAGAAAATGAGTTCCTTTGAACTTAAATGCTTCCGCGAACGAAAAAGTTTTTCACATAGCCCTAAAGAAGACGACGTGACTTTGTCCACGATAGCTTCATCTAATCAACCTTATAAAGATAAAAGCGTGAACAAACAGTCATCGGAAAAAAATTTTATGCGCCGCTAAAAAAACAACTCTCTCAAAAACTTATTCCTTTTAGGCTAAACAATACGTCAAGCGCACCCGTTTTGAACCCCTGTTTCTTTGGAAGCTGTGCGAAGAACCGTGAAATTGAAAAATCCTGCATATCGCCTAAAATGGGGACTATTGTGTATAATCAACAAAAGAAATCGCAAATTTGCATGGAACGCAAAAATAATACATTACTGCAATTTGTACCTGTGGAACATGGCTTGGCAATTAACGATACTTTTTTTAGACGGCCGGGATCGATGGGACCTCTGTTGATGCAGACGGATTTATATGTGCCTAACTTCAGTAAACTTAACGAATTTTCATCCGCCTCATCTCTCATGCAAGACAATCACCAATGGCAACAACTGAGGGCTATTAAAGAGGTAACTGATCGTCAACTTTATAATAAGGTATTGGACCAACATCAGCAATACTGCTCAAAGGTGCTAGCTCCTCCTAGTGCTAGTATGAAGACGAAAATTCATCAGCATTTGCGTACGCATCAGCTGATCTATCGGAAAAAACAGAACAGTTATCGCATATCCCTTTCTGCCAATGGTGTCCGCACCCAACATCTTGACAACATTAATCCAAGTAAAATTAATAGCGATTGGCTTTCTCCAATGAATGAACGTGGCACAAAAATTACCTCTTTGATAGGTAAAGCATTTACTAGAGATGAAATTCTTCAAAAAGTTAAAGAGTTCTGTTTTAAGAGCATCAAGCGAACCCATATTTCAGAGATCAAAATACAGAATCTTCCGAAAAAAATGCAGCAAACGATCCATATTCTCTAAAAGAATCTTAATTTAAAGTAATTGCTAGTTTTAATAGTGGAAATAATTATTTTTATTATTACTTATAATTAACTTATTCATTAGGTAGTGACGTCGATTATTTACATGGAATGACGTTAATAATTATTAATTTTACAGAAACAAATTAAACAAGGGTTTTTTTGTGACGGAGGATATTGTTGTTTAACATATGAATTTTGATTTATTGGTTGCGAATGATTCTGTGGCGAGTTATGCCTGACACCGCAAATAAACTATATTCGAGGCGCCTTCGAAGATTCTCTGTAACTCTCTTAACAAATTTTCTGTATTTGTGCTGACAATACTAAAACAATCCATAAAGAAAAGTTTTAAATAAAATGAATATATTCATATCATATTCTTATTTGGCGTCATATTGGTGACTCGCAATTTTAAAAAATTTTAAGTGGTAAATCATCAGTGTTGTCACAGTACCAAAGCCAGCTTCTTCATTGACTTTTTAATGTGGTTAAATTGGCGTTAACAATCATAAAGTTTATGGAATTTTGTTGTGTGAATCAAATAATTCCTGAATCTGAAAATGGAAGGTCTTTGTACAGGTACTTAAGTATTTATTTAAATCAGCGTAATTGAGATGTGTTGAATCTTTTTATATGTTTCTAAAAAACTAATTTTATCTAAATCGGCCGTTTTTTAAAGGACATATACCCATATATATGTACAATTTCTCATACAAACGCACTGTGGCCGATTTTGGTAATTTAGCGTCGAATATGGAATATCATTAAAAATAATGATAATTTAAAAAAGTTTGAAATTCGTATGGAATGTTAACCCAATAAGAAATAAAATTTAGTAATTGTAATTAAGTAAAATTGTTTATTTTTATTTTTTTCTAGTTTACTTTACTTTTTTTGCAAAATAAACTAGTTTCAATTGTCCATAAGAAGATTTTGGCCTTTAATCTCAAAGGAAACTGCCTTGCTCGAGTTATTGGTCGAACTTTTGGAAAAGTTTATTATTAATGGATCTGACGATAGTAACAATAAGTGCAAAAATTCATCCATTGTGTTTTTGTAAGAGTTTTTACGTGTATGGCTCAAGCGAAAATTTCTTAAATCTTTGTTTCGGGCTTCTTCCGACATCATTCCGATCGGTATCCGCAGTGAATCAAAATGTTGTACATTGAGGATGGAATCCAATTTACTATCCTCATCCAAAAGAACCTAATGTTTCGTTAACCAACAAGCGTTCTTGCTCTCGAAAAGCTTCTTAAACATATGTACCTATTTGATTTATTCCATAATTTTTTAAAACGAATGTTACAAAAATTTTTACCGGTGCATTCTATAGATGTCAAGTTCGCTTCGGAACATTTCGATTAATGAATTATATTCCTAAAAATGTGATCTACTACTGCAGAACCCATAAAGATTATGGCGTCTGCATCCCCATGCCAAACTGCAAAAAGTGATTGCTGGAAATATCGCTAACTTTAACAGGGGCACGTAGGGGCAGCTGAACATGGATAATTTATACACTAGACGAACCACAGTTTACCAAAAATATACGCTTTTTGCGGGCCGAGGCGAGCTTCACAAAGTTTACCTCTACAGAAGTGGAAATTTGTCATAAAAAAAGGGTACTGCAAAAATATTTAATTATTTGACTATCGGTAGGAAACAGCATTTTAATGAATTTTAACAGTTGAAAATTTGCCTAATCTGACGCTAGAATAGCTAAACCGGGCACTGTGAAACAGCCTAAAATTTTGAACGCGTGGATCTCGAAGACTATAAGAGATAGAACTTGAACTCGTATGGTATCCGCGTAGATTAAAATTGTGTCAAAGTTTTGCCAAAATAAATAATTTTGAAAAATGTTTTGATGCCAAACTGTTCAAATGACAAATCTACCATGAATATAAAAGCAGCCGCTTTACAAGCTACACTTCTGAGTCGGCAGTATGGCCGTTGCTATTTTGTTGTTGTTTTGCCCAAGCACAAAAGTATGAAACCAAAATATGTTGCTGAGAATCCATTCCGTTAAGGGGTTATATACAGTTTTTTTTAAAAACAAATTTTATCGATTTTTTTTCGACACCACAGAAAATATTTATTAAAAATGTTTTAGTGACGTTGTTTAGTACATGTTTCTGGATACTTATTTAGATTTTTTCATAAAAAATATTAAATAATAAAAATGTTATAGCCGAATCCCAAGATCGTCTTTTTCGATGGTCTCTTGCGGTAGACATCATATCCCGAGAACGGTTCATCCGAAATCAAAAATTCAAAAAAATTTCGTTAGTATATTGTATTGCCTAGTCCGTTTTATAAAAATAGATTATTAAAATGAATATTGGTCAATGTCAAGACCAAAGCACAAGAGAGGAAGTTTACATACCTTTATGCAAGTTTACAAAAGGAAGTCCAATCAGCCATCGACATAATCCATTTCGGAAAAGTGATGTCGTTTTGTCACATCGGCCTATTAAAAATCCGACAGTAAAAACTAAAAGAAACTTTTGTGTTTCTCCCCAACGTTTCTTGCGTTTCTTTCTTGCGAAACCCCAACATCTAAAAGTTCAGGAGAATAAGACGAACAATTTTAAAGAAACAAAATCGTTTGATCCTTCTCAAATAGATGATTACGTAACCACAGAAAAGTTCTCAACCAATCTAAGTTTGTGAAAACGTACATTAAAAATCCGAATGCCTATTTCACTTAAGGTCCTTTAGTATTGGCTCGGCTTAAGCTTGAAGATTTTCAGAAAATATCTGATAAGCGTCTAAAATGGAAACCGATTTACAAGCAACCCTCTGAAAAGGATCAAACACAGAAAAAAACTCTTACCACTTAAATCCAATGCGCACTTAAATCCTGCTGAGGTTAAAAATAACGCACGTAGGTTTGACGAAAGAGTTAAAAAACTTCAGATAAGATCTGACGATGACCTGAATGATTTTGATAGCACTCTAAACGAGACCTGCGATGAGCTGGACATTTATCCTAAGTTTTATATGCAGATTCAACCAAGAAGTATACAATTGTGTACAAACTCGTTACCATTATCAATGCCCTACACTTTCTCAAAGAAAATGAGTTCCTTTGAACTTAAATGCTTCCGCGAACGAAGAAGTTTTTCACATAGCCCTAAAGAAGACGACGTGACTTTGTCCACGATAGCTTCATCTAATCAACCTTATAAAGATAAAAGCGTGAACAAACAGTCATCGGAAAAAAAATTTTATGCGCCGCTAAAAAAACAACTCTCTCAAAAACTTATTCCTTTTAGGCTAAACAATACGTCAAGCGCACCCGTTTTGAACCCCTGTTTCTTTGGAAGCTGTGCGAAGAACCGTGAAATTGAAAAATCCTGCATATCGTCTAAAATGGGGACTATTGTGTATAATCAACAAAAGAAATCGCAAATTTCATTGGAACGCAAAAATAATACATTACTGCAATTTGTACCTGTGGAACATGGCTTGGCAATTAACGATACTTTTTTTAGACGGCCGGGATCGATGGGACCTCTGTTGATGCAGACGGATTTATATGTGCCTAACTTCAGTAAACTTAACGAATTTTCATCCGCCTCATCTCTCATGCAAGACAATCACCAATGGCAACAACTGAGGGCTATTAAAGAGGTAACTGATCGTCAACTTTATAATAAGGTATTGGACCAACATCAGCAATACTGCTCAAAGGTGCTAGCTCCTCCTAGTGCTAGTATGAAGACGAAAATTCATCAGCATTTGCGTACGCATCAGCTGATCTATCGGAAAAAACAGAACAGTTATCGCATATCCCTTTCTGCCAATGGTGTCCGCACCCAACATCTTGACAACATTAATCCAAGTAAAATTAATAGCGATTGGCTTTCTCCAATGAATGAACGTGGCACAAAAATTACCTCTTTGATAGGTAAAGCATTTACTAGAGATGAAATTCTTCAAAAAGTTAAAGAGTTCTGTTTTAAGAGCATCAAGCGAACCCATATTTCAGAGATCAAAATACAGAATCTTCCGAAAAAAATGCAGCAAACGATCCATATTCTCTAAAAGAATCTTAATTTAAAGTAATTGCTAGTTTTAATAGTGGAAATAATTATTTTTATTATTACTTATAATTAACTTATTCATTAGGTAGTGACGTCGATTATTTACATGGAATGACGTTAATAATTATTAATTTTACAGAAACAAATTAAACAAGGGTTTTTTTGTGACGGAGGATATTGTTGTTTAACATATGAATTTTGATTTATTGGTTGCGAATGATTCTGTGGCGAGTTATGCCTGACACCGCAAATAAACTATATTCGAGGCGCCTTCGAAGATTCTCTGTAACTCTCTTAACAAATTTTCTGTATTTGTGCTGACAATACTAAAACAATCCATAAAGAAAAGTTTTAAATAAAATGAATATATTCATATCATATTCTTATTTGGCGTCATATTGGTGACTCGCAATTTTAAAAAATTTTAAGTGGTAAATCATCAGTGTTGTCACAGTACCAAAGCCAGCTTCTTCATTGACTTTTTAATGTGGTTAAATTGGCGTTAACAATCATAAAGTTTATGGAATTTTGTTGTGTGAATCAAATAATTCCTGAATCTGAAAATGGAAGGTCTTTGTACAGGTACTTAAGTATTTATTTAAATCAGCGTAATTGAGATGTGTTGAATCTTTTTATATGTTTCTAAAAAACTAATTTTATCTTATTTTAAAGGACATATACCCATATATATGTACAATTTCTCATACAAACGCACTGTGGCCGATTTGGGTAATTTAGCGTCGAATATGGAATATCATTAAAAATAATGATAATTTAAAAAAGTTTGAAATTCGTATGGAATGTTAACCCAATAAGAAATAAAATTTAGTAATTGTAATTAAGTAAAATTGTTTATTTTTATTTTTTTCTAGTTTACTTTACTTTTTTTGCAAAATAAACTAGTTTCAATTGTCCATAAGAAGATTTTGGCCTTTAATCTCAAAGGAAACTGCCTTGCTCGAGTTATTGGTCGAACTTTTGGAAAAGTTTATTATTAATGGATCTGACGATAGTAACAATAAGTGCAAAAATTCATCCATTGTGTTTTTGTAAGAGTTTTTACGTGTATGGCTCAAGCGAAAATTTCTTAAATCTTTGTTTCGGGCTTCTTCCGACATCATTCCGATCGGTATCCGCAGTGAATCAAAATGTTGTACATTGAGGATGGAATCCAATTTACTATCCTCATCCAAAAGAACCTAATGTTTCGTTAACCAACAAGCGTTCTTGCTCTCGAAAAGCTTCTTAAACATATGTACCTATTTGATTTATTCCATAATTTTTTAAAACGAATATTACAAAAATTTTTACCGGTGCATTCTATAGATGTCAAGTTCGCTTCGGAACATTTCGATTAATGAATTATATTCCTAAAAATGTGATCTACTACTGCAGAACCCATAAAGATTATGGCGTCTGCATCCCCATGCCAAACTGCAAAAAGTGATTGCTGGAAATATCGCTAACTTTAACAGGGGCACGTAGGGGCAGCTGAACATGGATAATTTATACACTAGACGAACCACAGTTTACCAAAAATATACGCTTTTTGCGGGCCGAGGCGAGCTTCACAAAGTTTACCTCTACAGAAGTGGAAATTTGTCATAAAAAAAGGGTACTGCAAAAATATTTAATTATTTGACTATCGGTAGGAAACAGCATTTTAATGAATTTTAACAGTTGAAAATTTGCCTAATCTGACGCTAGAATAGCTAAACCGGGCACTGTGAAACAGCCTAAAATTTTGAACGCGTGGATCTCGAAGACTATAAGAGATAGAACTTGAACTCGTATGGTATCCGCGTAGATTAAAATTGTGTCAAAGTTTTGCCAAAATAAATAATTTTGAAAAATGTTTTGATGCCAAACTGTTCAAATGACAAATCTACCATGAATATAAAAGCAGCCGCTTTACAAGCTACACTTCTGAGTCGGCAGTATGGCCGTTGCTATTTTGTTGTTGTTTTGCCCAAGCACAAAAGTATGAAACCAAAATATGTTGCTGAGAATCCATTCCGTTAAGGGGTTATATACAGTTTTTTTTTAAAAACAAATTTTATCGATTTTTTTTCGACACCACAGAAAATATTTATTAAAAATGTTTTAGTGACGTTGTTTAGTACATGTTTCTGGATACTTATTTAGATTTTTTCATAAAAAAATATTAAATAATAAAAATGTTATAGCCGAATCCCAAGATCGTCTTTTTTCGATGGTCTCTTGCGGTAGACATCATATCCCGAGAACGGTTCATCCGAAATCAAAAATTCAAAAAAAAATTTCGTTAGTATATTGTATTGCCTAGTCCGTTTTATAAAAATAGATTATTAAAATGAATATTGGTCAATGTCAAGACCAAAGCACAAGAGAGGAAGTTTACATACCTTTATGCAAGTTTACAAAAGGAAGTCCAATCAGCCATCGACATAATCCATTTCGGAAAAGTGATGTCGTTTTGTCACATCGGCCTATTAAAAATCCGACAGTAAAAACTAAAAGAAACTTTTGTGTTTCTCCCCAACGTTTCTTGCGTTTCTTTCTTGCGAAACCCCAACATCTAAAAGTTCAGGAGAATAAGACGAACAATTTTAAAGAAACAAAATCGTTTGATCCTTCTCAAATAGATGATTACGTAACCACAGAAAAAGTTCTCAACCAATCTAAGTTTGTGAAAACGTACATTAAAAATCCGAATGCCTATTTCACTTAAGGTCCTTTAGTATTGGCTCGGCTTAAGCTTGAAGATTTTCAGAAAATATCTGATAAGCGTCTAAAATGGAAACCGATTTACAAGCAACCCTCTGAAAAGGATCAAACACAGAAAAAACTCTTACCACTTAAATCCAATGCGCACTTAAATCCTGCTGAGGTTAAAAATAACGCACGTAGGTTTGACGAAAGAGTTAAAAAACTTCAGATAAGATCTGACGATGACCTGAATGATTTTGATAGCACTCTAAACGAGACCTGCGATGAGCTGGACATTTATCCTAAGTTTTATATGCAGATTCAACCAAGAAGTATACAATTGTGTACAAACTCGTTACCATTATCAATGCCCTACACTTTCTCAAAGAAAATGAGTTCCTTTGAACTTAAATGCTTCCGCGAACGAAAAAGTTTTTCACATAGCCCTAAAGAAGACGACGTGACTTTGTCCACGATAGCTTCATCTAATCAACCTTATAAAGATAAAAGCGTGAACAAACAGTCATCGGAAAAAAAATTTTATGCGCCGCTAAAAAAACAACTCTCTCAAAAACTTATTCCTTTTAGGCTAAACAATACGTCAAGCGCACCCGTTTTGAACCCCTGTTTCTTTGGAAGCTGTGCGAAGAACCGTGAAATTGAAAAATCCTGCATATCGCCTAAAATGGGGACTATTGTGTATAATCAACAAAAGAAATCGCAAATTTGCATGGAACGCAAAAATAATACATTACTGCAATTTGTACCTGTGGAACATGGCTTGGCAATTAACGATACTTTTTTTAGACGGCCGGGATCGATGGGACCTCTGTTGATGCAGACGGATTTATATGTGCCTAACTTCAGTAAACTTAACGAATTTTCATCCGCCTCATCTCTCATGCAAGACAATCACCAATGGCAACAACTGAGGGCTATTAAAGAGGTAACTGATCGTCAACTTTATAATAAGGTATTGGACCAACATCAGCAATACTGCTCAAAGGTGCTAGCTCCTCCTAGTGCTAGTATGAAGACGAAAATTCATCAGCATTTGCGTACGCATCAGCTGATCTATCGGAAAAAACAGAACAGTTATCGCATATCCCTTTCTGGCAATGGTGTCCGCACCCAACATCTTGACAACATTAATCCAAGTAAAATTAATAGCGATTGGCTTTCTCCAATGAATGAACGTGGCACAAAAATTACCTCTTTGATAGGTAAAGCATTTACTAGAGATGAAATTCTTCAAAAAGTTAAAGAGTTCTGTTTTAAGAGCATCAAGCGAACCCATATTTCAGAGATCAAAATACAGAATCTTCCGAAAAAAATGCAGCAAACGATCCATATTCTCTAAAAGAATCTTAATTTAAAGTAATTGCTAGTTTTAATAGTGGAAATAATTATTTTTATTATTACTTATAATTAACTTATTCATCAGGTAGTGACGTCGATTATTTACATGGAATGACGTTAATAATTATTAATTTTACAGAAACAAATTAAACAAGGGTTTTTTTGTGACGGAGGATATTGTTGTTTAACATATGAATTTTGATTTATTGGTTGCGAATGATTCTGTGGCGAGTTATGCCTGACACCGCAAATAAACTATATTCGAGGCGCCTTCGAAGATTCTCTGTAACTCTCTTAACAAATTTTCTGTATTTGTGCTGACAATACTAAAACAATCCATAAAGAAAAGTTTTAAATAAAATGAATATATTCATATCATATTCTTATTTGGCGTCATATTGGTGACTCGCAATTTTAAAAAATTTTAAGTGGTAAATCATCAGTGTTGTCACAGTACCAAAGCCAGCTTCTTCATTGACTTTTTAATGTGGTTAAATTGGCGTTAACAATCATAAAGTTTATGGAATTTTGTTGTGTGAATCAAATAATTCCTGAATCTGAAAATGGAAGGTCTTTGTACAGGTACTTAAGTATTTATTTAAATCAGCGTAATTGAGATGTGTTGAATCTTTTTATATGTTTCTAAAAAACTAATTTTATCTAAATCGGCCGTTTTTTAAAGGACATATACCCATATATATGTACAATTTCTCATACAAACGCACTGTGGCCGATTTTGGTAATTTAGCGTCGAATATGGAATATCATTAAAAATAATGATAATTTAAAAAGTTTGAAATTCGTATGGAATGTTAACCCAATAAGAAATAAAATTTAGTAATTGTAATTAAGTAAAATTGTTTATTTTTATTTTTTCTAGTTTACTTTACTTTTTTGCAAAATAAACTAGTTTCAATTGTCCATAAGAAGATTTTGGCCTTTAATCTCAAAGGAAACTGCCTTGCTCGAGTTATTGGTCGAACTTTTGGAAAAGTTTATTATTAATGGATCTGACGATAGTAACAATAAGTGCAAAAATTCATCCATTGTGTTTTTGTAAGAGTTTTTACGTGTATGGCTCAAGCGAAAATTTCTTAAATCTTTGTTTCGGGCTTCTTCCGACATCATTCCGATCGGTATCCGCAGTGAATCAAAATGTTGTACATTGAGGATGGAATCCAATTTACTATCCTCATCCAAAAGAACCTAATGTTTCGTTAACCAACAAGCGTTCTTGCTCTCGAAAAGCTTCTTAAACATATGTACCTATTTGATTTATTCCATAATTTTTTAAAACGAATATTACAAAAATTTTTACCGGTGCATTCTATAG